GTCCCTAACTATTACTCACACTGGTTCTACCACTTTAGCCACAACCTCTCGTCCCTTATCCCTATCTAATGTTCTATGTGTGCCTCGCCTTCAAAAAAATTTGGTTTCAGTTGCTAAACTTTGCAAAACTAATCCTGTTTCTGTTGAATTTTTTCCTACTCATTTTCTTGTTAAGGATCGGCACACGGGGGCGGTGCTCATGCGCGGGGAGAACTTCCATGATGTCTATTATGCTTCATCTCATTTGCCTCCACAAATACATCTCTCACAACGTTCAGTTCAGTCCACGTGGCATCATACTTTGGGCCATCCGTCAAGTCGTATTTTTAGTTTGTTAATTAGTCATAATAAAGATGTAATCCCATGTGATGCGTCAGTTTGTGAGTCTCATTGTTCGTCATGCTATATCAATAAAAGCACCAAGTTGCCATTTTTTATTAATACCATGAATGCTTCTCGCCCACTTGAACTCATATATACTGATGTCTGGAGTACTACGGACATATCTATTGATGGTTTTCGATACTATGTCATTTTTGTGGATTATTTCACAAGATACATTTGGTTATATCCACTTAAAAATAAATCAGACGTGTCAGTGGTGTTTCCTCAGTTTCACCGTCTCGTTGAAAAGTTTTTTAATTATTCAATCAAATCTCTATTCTCCGTCAATGGTGGTGAATATATTAAATTACGGTCCTATCTGAATCAGCATGGGATTTCTCACTACACGTCACCCCCAAACACTCCTGAGCATAATGGCTTGGCTGAACGCCGTCATCGTTCGTTATTCTGGATTATTCTCACTATTGTGGATACAGGTCTAGCTCTCCTTCATTATTCTGGATTACCTCGGTCGTTCTGGTCATATGCTTTTCAGACGGCAGCATACCTTATTAACAGACTCCCTAATTCTGCTATTAAGTTTGCTACCCCGTATGAGAAGCTATATCACACTCCACCTAATTATACTAAACTACGTCCATTTGGTTGCTTGTGTTACCCATGGTTAAGACCATATAACACCTAAAAAATTCAGCCAAGGTCTATTCCCTGTGTTTTCTTGGGTTATTCTTTGTCGCAGTCTGCTTATTATTGTTACGATCCCGTCACTCACAAAACCTACACAAGTCGTCATGTTCGATTTGTCACACACAATTTTCCATTTCGGTCTCTATCTGCATGCATGAATTCCCCTCCCCCCGTGCCGATCACTCCGCAACAGTCTCCAACCATTCCCATAATTCCTAGGCTGCCACCTACACCCTCCAATATTGAGCCACATGCACCTCCCCCACCTGATTCCCATTATCTCTTTATACTAGACTAGACCAAACTAGTTCAAACCGGATCAGATCAGTTCAGACCAGACTAGACCAACAAATTACAGTCCAAATAAAAACATCGTAAATTCACGCGCGTGAAGTCGTGAACATGCAGGGGTGGATCTACAATTATGTTCAAAGTGCGTGATTTTTGCCATTGAACTAAGATATTATATTCAAAAGTACTCATACAAAAACATCAATAACAAAGTAGGCTATGTAATGTTTAAAATTATCACTATTTAACATTGTATATATTGAAGAACATGTAAATTTAGTTTTTATCATAAAGCAGAACTAGAAATAGGGATTAAATTAGTAGATAAAATAGTTACGCTTTAGATCAGAGAATAAAATTTGAGGTGGTAATCCTATTTTGAATATTACAAATGTGTTTACTTTTATTTAAAACAATTTCTTTGCACTTTATTATAGCTAGGCATGGTTTGACTGGAAAAGATCAAGAAAATCGTTGTTTTAATTAGGAAGTTTTTTAACACATGGAGCTAAACTTAACCTAAAATTACTGTATCATGCATGCATTCTTTAGATAAAAGATACAAAATAAAGGGAGAACTATCAAATAAGCCCTCGAACTTTCATAAAAAGTGCAAATAAGCTCTTTTACAGGAGGCTTTGTCCGGATGTTGTTATTTGGGGCGGTTTACGATGGAATTGTTTGATGAAATTTTTTAAGCATCTTCTTAATTAAGTCTAGTTTATCCATACCAAATTTCAGCTAAAAATTCAACCGAGATGGAAGTGAAATGATTTTCTGAAATATACTGCGCTGCCTAACTGCGCAGTTATTTTCAAAAATTCATTTGACTGCTTTCCCGATTGAATTTTTAGCTGAAATTTGGTATGAGTAAACTAGACTTAATGATGAAGATGGTCAAAACAATTCATCAAAAAAATCCACCGGAAACCGCCCCCAATGACGATGGCCGGACAGAGCCTCCTGGCTTATTTGCACTTTTTATGAAAGTTCGAGGGCTTATTTGATAGTTCTCCCGAAAATAAATGATAAAACTATGATTGATTAACTCTATCATCACGCCGTATCCTAAAAAATCATACATCCCTCAAAATATCAAATGTTGCCTTCCGTCTTTTCTAAAACTTGTAGTAAAATGATTCAAAGTTAAAGCGATGAAGTATGTATTGAAATTTCGAATGATGATTAAAATTGAGTATCGATGGCAGCCACAATATTATTTGTGCTGGAAAGCAAAAAATTATGTTCCTTTGCAAATTAAATTTGCTCACCGTTTTAAGAGTTCAATCTTTTGCTTTTGACTTTGCACTTTTATCATTTACGAATGGTGGCTGAATGAAATAGAAGGAAAAATGGAAAATGAAAAGGATAAAAAAGGAAAAGAAGTAGCCAAATCTGGTAGATTGCCGTCACATCGCTCGAAAGGGGCAAGACGAGGCATGTCACCTCCAAAACGTTCTATGTGTGTGTTATTATGGAGATAGATACCCCTCACCCTATTTAAGTAATACTCGTAGTTGATAACCTAAAACTTATTAAAATAAAATTTGTATATTGATGGATATTCGAGACTCTTACAAGAACAATAAGAAATATAACAAGTAAGCAAATAAGAATATAACTCAGTGTGTTATTCGAATTAGAATCTATCTGATACAATAGGGCTTAATCCTACTTATAGTGGGTAATAGACTTTTAGCAAGAATTCAAACAACAAAGTAACAATAACTAATTAATAGGATAATTTTCTTGAACTCTAGCACCACGTTCAACCCATGATGGTGGTTTAGGAAGAGGTTGGACCATTAGTACCATTGTGCGTGATTGATCCTCCATCGCCAGCCGAACACAGACCTTCGATATAGATGTAGGTCTTGATACTCAGCTAGTAGGAAACTCAATATGTTCGCTATAATCAATATGTGAATCTAACTGTTTTTAAATATAGTGATTCAAACCACTGGTATCAATGGCACAAAACATGTGCACGGGTAGCTCAACAGTGGATTAGTGGAACAGTTCAATTGAGGTTTCAGGTTCAACTCTCACAAATGGGGTATGTATGGATCCATCCAATGTGGTGATCATACTTTGATTTACTTCTCCATCATTCTATGTAGGCATGAACCCAGTCTGGTGGTCCAGCGCGGTCCGAAATCGGGTCCGTTTTTTGAGTCCCATGCAAAGACCTAATACCTAGTCCCGGGTTCCATTTGATGGGACCAAATCGAGCGGTCCCAGTTTATATCACAAAGGTCGGTTTTCTTTATATTCCTTGGGGGCCTAAGTAGTCATTGGATCTGCTATAAACAGCTATTATAGCCATTGGAAGGGGTTTGGGGGATTCGGGGATGGGGTATGAATATTTGTCACATTTTAATATTGGTCACATTTAAATATTTGTAACTTTTTAATATTACCAAAAATTTTAAAAATGTCAAATCCTAGAAAATCAATTGATGATTTAGTTAGCTAGTCTCCAATGCAATAGTAAAGGCTAAGGAATAAGGACAAGATTTTGAATTCTCATCCTTCTTCGTGGTCTCGGGGTAAATGTCAAGTGGATATAATATAACATTATTGTAATTGTCATAATAATATATTAAGAGAAATGGAACGAAACCATTGAGAACTATACGAAAATATAATTGGGAGAATAATGGCTTACCCTATTAGGTGCCTTGGCCTTCTATTTATAATAAAATAGAGTTATGAAATATTACAAGGTAATACCTAAATATTACATTATTACACCCCCTCAATTTGTGCAGGGGAAATCACGTGCAAATTGGAACGTAAAAACTCAAATCGCTGACTAGATAATTTTTTGGTGAAGATATGAGCTAATTGTAACTGAGTAGGCATGTGCTTCACCACAAGGTCTCCATGTGCTACACGTTCACGGACACAATGGTAGTCAATTTTAATGTGCTTGCTCCGATCATGCTGAATGAGATTAACTGCCAAGTAAGAAGCTGAGACATTATCATAAAGGAGCTGTACAGGGGCCGAAATAAATATGCCCATATCTGCCAGTAGTGATATGATGAAAAGTGTATCCTGAACAGTATAAGCAATGGCCCATTACTTGGCTTCAGTAGAGGATTTGGATACTGTCGGTTGTTTCTTGGAGCGCCACGAAATTAAATTCGAGCCTAGAAACACCGCATAGCCTGTAGTAGAACGAGAGCAATCTGGACATCCTGCCCAATCTGTATCAGAGTAAGCCGTAACCACGGAAATATTTTTATCAGCTCGTAACCATAGGCCATGAGTGCTCGTGCTCTGCAAATACCTGTAAATCCTCTTAACAGCCAAAAGGTGAGTAGTACGTGGAGCATGCATAAACTGAGACACAAGGTGAACAACATAAGTAATATCAGGTCTAGTAAGGTTTAGATACTGAAGAGCACCTACCATACTCCGATACTTAGTAATATCAGATAAAAGTTCCCCATCTGTGAGAGACAGTGTAGTGCGTGAAGGTAGGGGAGTACGAACAGGCTTTACAGTATGAAGATGAAAAAGACGTAAGAGATCAGTTATATACTTAGCCTGTGACAAGAACAAACCCGTAGGTGTGCGTTTAGCCTGAACACCTAAGAAATAATGAACTTCCCCCAAATCCTTCATCGCAAATTGATGAGATAATGTAGTGATAACAGAGGAAACAAATGAAGCAGACGACCCTGTAATAAGAATATCATCCAGATATAAAAGAATGTAAACCACTTGGGACTAAGTACGATAAATAATCATGGATGAATCAGACCTGCTTTGTCTAAAACCACGACTCAACAAAAACCGCTGAAACGCTGAAACCAAGCTCGAGGAGCTTGTTTCAACCCATAAAGAGCCTTACGAAGGCGACACACATGATTAGGATAAGACGGATGAACAAAACCCTGAGGTTGACGCATATATACCTCCTCAGTTAAAACACCATGCAAAAAGGCATTTTTCACATCTAACTGACGAACAGACCAGCCCACAGAAGTGGCAACAGATAAAACAAGACAAACAGTAGTCGATTTAACAACAGGACTAAAAGTTTCAGTAAAATCAATATCAGCCTGTTGTTTAAAACTTTGAGCAACAAGACGAGCTTTATGCCGTTCAACAGACCCATCAGAATAGTATTTTGTCTTAAAAATCCACTTACAATCAACCACATTTTTAGTAGGGTCCTAAGGTACCAAATCCCAAGTCTTATTATTAATCAATGCATTAAATTCATCCGCCATGGCAGCCCGCCAAATATAACTTTTATTTGCCTGTGTAAAACATGTAGGATCATTTGGGGGAGCCAAAACACTTAAGGTAAAAATGTTTTTGGGTTTAAAAATTCCATCCTTGACGCGAGTACGCATGGGGTGAACATTTAGAGGTGCTGGTGGGGTCGGGAGCGCTGCTGCAGAGGACGGTGGAGAATGGTCATTATGGACACTGGTTGGGGACGGGGTAGGGGAGGTTGTGGGCGATGGTAGTGGGCTGCTCGGATGATCAGTAGGCTGGGGAGTGGTCTGTGAGGGTGCGAGGCTGGTCAGCGGTGAAGGAGGAGGGCACGGCTGGGTATTGGGTGTTGTGGCGGTAGGTGTTTGACAGGAGGAGAGCGGAGTGGAGATGTTGTACTGATGCACACTAATTAGTAGTGCATAATTACATGTTTTTATGTTTGATTTATGTTAATTGTTTGACGTTTTATTTAGTTTGTAAACATTTATGTAATTTCAGTTGTAATTGTATTTTAGTCTTTATTTGTAAGTTGTAAAGTTTAGTTAGGATTTGTGGTGTTGGAAAGGAAGACTTTGAAGTGAAGAAAAAGAAGATTTGGCTGCCCAGGAGCAAATACTCGACCGGGTATAACACTTGACCCGGTCGGGTAAGAAGCGAAAAACGAAAACGCAAAGAAAGTGCATGGCCCGGTCGGGCCCACTACCTCACCCGGTCGGGTGAGAAGTGACCGGGGACAACCCGGTGTGCAAAGATCACCCGAACGTGAAGAATATCCAATTTTTGCACTCACCCGGTCGGGTCCCCTACCCCACCCGGTCGGGTCCGACTTGACCCGGACACTTTAACATGCCGAAGATCGCCAGAACGTGGGGAAATATCTGATTTTGACCGGACCCGGTCGGGTGAGTACTTGACCCGGTCGGGTACCCGGCCAAAGGTGTTGAAAAACACCTATAAATAGCACTCCTTTTCTCCTCTAAAAATCATCCCTTCTTCCATACTCTTTAGCTCAGTTTAGAATAGCATTTCTTTATATTTTTCTAGCTATGTTTAGTCTCCAAATGAGGAGCTAAACTTCCATTCTTGGTGTTGCTCTTGAAGTTTGTTGATTATTAAAGTTGTGAGTTATTTTCTTAACTTCTTTCCTTGAATATTAATTAATAGTTCTTTCCTTAATACCATCTCTATATTAATGTTGGGGAGTGTTGCTAAGATGACAATTTGTTAACATCTCGACTACATTAGTTAGAATGGTATTTTCTTCCTCTATATTAATGTTGAGGAGTGTTGCTAAGATGACAATTAGTTAACATCTTGATATTAATTATAGTAGGATTCATCTTCTTTAATAATATTGTTCCTTGAATATTAATTAATTCCTACTCTTATTTCATATTAATATTTTGAACATTACTTAAAGGATCAACTAGTTTTGTTTCATATATTAATTATTACTAGAAACGATCAACGAACCGATGGTTAATCGTTGATGGTTTCACAAGTAAGTAACTTCGGTTTATTAATGCACGATCGTGGTTAATAAACTTAAGAGGGATTAATTTTGTTGGTTAAACCGAAACCGCTTGTGTTGAGGTTATTAATCTCAATTGATTTCATCAAGGAGTTAGAAAGATTAAATGCTACTCTTAAATCGGTATAAGGCGTTGTTCTATATTTGATTAATAGTAAGGGTTATTAATGAACGGTCGTTGTTAATAACTACCCTCGATGAAGTGGATATACTCCCCGATTGAGTATTCGAGAGGGAATAAGTTATAGATATAACAATGATCGACTAAAATATATCAACAAGTGGAAAGTAGCAATGTCAAGTCCTTTTTATCTTTGAATTAAACACATATAGGTTGTTCATCTTAGTTCTTAATTAAAGCAAATCACTCAAAACCAAAACCCCCCTTTTAATTACTAGTTTCATAAAAAGAGAATTATTCATTTCCCTGTGGATACGAACTCTACTTTACCTATACTACGTATAAGTGTTTAGTATTGAATTTATTTTGACGCACCGTGACAAAGTGCTCGTCATGTACTGCAGCGGGGAAGAGGCATGGACAGAGGTCGACCGATAGGTATCGGAGACCGAAGAGGAAGCCAAGATGAAGGCATGGTAGATGGTGTGGTAAAGGATGTGGACATTAAGGAAGGATAGGGAAAAACATTTTCATGAAAAAGCACATCCCGACTAACATAAACCCGGCCTGTGGAAGGAGATAAGCAACGATACCCTTTATAACCCGGAGCATACCCAAGAAAGACACAGTGCGTAAAACGTGGTGAGAGCTTATTGTTTGAGGCGGCAATAAAATTAGGAAAACATGAGCAACCAAATACCCTTAAAAAATTATAGTCAGGCAATTTATTAAAAAGTGTTTTATATGGAGAGACTCCATTCAAAATGGGAGTAGGTAAACGATTTATAATAAAAGTGGCGGTGTAAAGTGCATCTACCCAAAAGTGACTAGGAATAGAAGAATCAATTAATAATTTCCTAGTCAGTTCGAGTAAATGTTTATGTTTGGGTTCAGCTACCCCATTTTGAACGGGAGTATGAGGACAAGATTTTCTAAATAAAATGCCTGACTTAAGAAAATGTGTATTAAAAATGGAATTATTAAAATCACCCCCTCCATCGCTCTGAAAAAATTTAATTTTGGCATTCAAAAGATTTTCAACCATAAAATGTGTAAAAACCTCAGACTTCCTGCGCATGGGGTAAACCCAGGTATATCTAGAGAAATCATCAACAAATGACACATAATATTTAAACCCAAGATTAGAAATAACTGGTGATTGCCAAACATCAGAATGAATAATTTCTAGAGGTGCGGAAGTATCATGAACAACATCAGTAAAAAGAAGTCTGTGGGATTCTTTCTTTTTAATATGAGATAAGGATCGTTTAAGTTCAACATAACGAGCAAAACAGGCAGACATAAAAAGAGTTTCCAGACGCTCCCAAATAAGATGAGAAAATTTTAAATCATATACCTCCATTAAAATATCACGCGCAAGAGTAGCAAAAATCCATGACCGAACTGTTTGATCAATTTTCAACCAATGGGGGTAGTCCGGATCCATGGGTGACGATACCCGAATTGAGCCATCCAATATCCCAATAAGACTATCGGAGACAAGAAAAGACTCAAATTGGGTACGCCACGGTAGGTAATCCTCAACGACCGATAAGCGGGTTGTAACAATATTAGTCACATTTGGCGTAGAAAACGTCAATTGTGATGAGGGGGAGGATAAAGAACCTGTGACTTGCGTAGAACCTGATCCGGCCGTGACTGGTGCATGCTGTGGAGGATTTGTGGCTGGCTGGGCAGTGAAGGTGGGTCCGGCAAAGTGCATGGACGAAGCACCTGTGTCAAAAATTGAGGTAAAGAGCAGCGGTGGAGGAAGGCTCGTGGTCGAAGTCCACGTAAACGGTGCTGGCATGCTAAATAAGTGATATTGATCAAATTGTTGAGGATTACCGAGACGCTGCCGGAGTGCTGGAGCGAGAGGGGACCAGGCTGGTGGCGCATCATCGGCGTGCGAAGAAGGTGGCGCGCTGCTAGAGCCAGTTTGAAAGGAGGACATTTGATCGGTGGTCTGGATGAGTATTCCGGACGAGGGCTGCACCATAACTATGGGCGCCTGAGTAGATGGAATTCCGCTCTGATGTGGCCGCACCTGGGAGGAGGGCGCCGACTGTGAGAGGGCTAGGGAGGGCTGCGCGTCGGCCATGGAGGAAGGAAACGGAAAACCTAGGCGACTGATACCATATACGAAAATATAATTGGGAGAATAATGGTTTACCCTATTGGGTGTCTTGGCCTTCTATTTATAATCAAACAAAGTTATGAAATATTACAAGGTAATCCCCAAATATTACATTATGAAGAACAAGCCCAAAAGTTCAAAATCACTAGAATTGATTGCAAACTCATACTAGTAGTATCATACTCTTTTTATTCCTTAAAACATTGCTACCTTTTTTTGTTATCACACTAACTTTGTCATTTTCTTTTTTAAGTAGGAAATTTGTGGTTTCATCAATTAATTAATTCTATTTCTTCTGCACAAATCTCAACTACACAATATTTCTTTATTAATTCATGTGTCGATCAAACTTAATCAATTTTTGAGGGACGAATGAAGTACTCGATGAACGGAGGAAATGAGTGGAGGAAACGCGAAGGTTTTTTTTGTTTTGGGTGAAAGAGGCGAAGGAAAGGTGGAGATTTGTTTGATCGAATGGCTGTGATGATTTCGGTGCTTAGGCGGGATTACTGTTCATTGAACAGTAAAAATACTGTTCATTGAACAGTAACCAATTGTATTGTTATTATGTATATATAGATGGTATGGCTAGCCATTCCATAATGTCTTTGTTTAGGTGTCAAACTTCGGTAGCCGATTTTACCGGTGGCCTTCACCTAACTCCTTTATATTGCCGATTTTCCCCGATAACATTCATATATGGTTTGTAGCGGTATGTTTCACAATATCTCCCATTCGAAACTACAAAATAATAAGTAGATATTTCATTAAAGCCAAAAATCACGAGTACGATTTTCATTCAAGTCTAGTTAAGCCAATTTATCTGATTAAAACGCATTTTCGAAGATAGGAGAGAAAAGCATCCATCGGCAAGTACAATCACATTTTCTACCACAATGTCTTATCTGCGAAGATTGGATATCTAATTTAATTTCAAGAACATATACACACACTATTTTTATCAAATATATGAGAAAACATGTAACTCATTCAATTTGGAGAATTTGCGGAACAAAAAAAATAGACCTATACACCAGGTAATAGCGAGGAAGGAGCTACATAGGAATTGGCAGCTAAAGTTCGAGACCCATACAAAGCAATTACGGCATGTCTCGCCACTCTGTAATACGGTATGGCTAGCCACTCCATATATGATTTGTTTGGGTCTCCAACTTCGGCAGCCGATTTTACCGGTGGCCTTCACCTAACTTCTCTATATTGCTGATTTCCCCCGATAACATTCATATATGGTTTGTAGCTATATGTTTCACATTATCTCTCATTCGACACTACAAAATAATATGTACATATTTTATTAAATTCAAAAATCATGAATACGATATTCATTCAAGTCTAGTTAAGCCAATTTATCTGATTCAAACCTATTTTTGAATATAGGAGGAAAAGCTTCCATCCGCAACTACAATCACATGTTATACCACAATGTGCTTATCTGCGAAGTTTGGATGTCTAATTTCATTTCAAGAACATATACACATACTATTTGTATCAAATATATGAGAAAACATGTAAGTCATTATAATATCTATTAAAATAAAATATTTTCCAATCCAGTATATTCAATTTGGAGCATTTGTGGAACAAAAAAAATAGACCTATATACCAGGTATGAATGGCGCTTGTACAAATGGTCAATACAGAGGAGCGAGGAAGGAGCTACAGAGGAATTGGCAACTAAAGTTCGAGACCCATACAAAGCAATTACGGCATGTCTCGCCACTCCGTACAAACGGCGTGTTTTTTTGTAGTGATATACACATATTATTTGTATCAAATATATGAGAAAACATGTAACTGATTATAATATCTATTAAAATAAAATATTTTCCAATCCTGTTTATTTAATTTGGAGTATTTGTGGAACAAAAAATAGACCTATACACCCGGTATGAATAGCGCTTGTACAAATGGTCAATAAAGAGGAGTCGCAGAGGAATTGACAACTAAAGTTCGAGACCTATACAAAGCAATTATGGCATGTCTCGCCACACCGTACTACGGTATGGCTAGCCATTCTATAATTGCTTTGTTTGGGTCTCGAACTTCGGAAACCAATTTTCAGTGGCCTTCACCTAACTCCTCTATATTGACGATTTTCCCCGATACATTCATATATGGTTTGTAGTTATATGTTTCACAATATCTCCCACTCGAAACTACAAAATAATTATTACATATTTTATTAAAGCCAAAAATCAAAAGTACGATATTCATTCAAGTCAAGTTAAGCCAATTTATCTTATTCAAACCCATTTTCGAATATAGGAGATAAAAGATCCATCCACAAGTACAATCACATGTTCTACCAGAGTGTGCTTATCTGCGAAGATTGGATGTCTAATTTCATTTCAAGAACATATATACATACTATTTTTATCAAATATATGAGAAAACATGTAACTCATTATAATATCTATTAAAATAAAATATTTTCCAATCCTATTTATTCAATTTGGAGCATTTGTAAAACAAAAAACAGACCTATATACCAGGTGTGGAAATGGTCAATACAAAGGAGCGAGGAAGGAGCTGCAGAGAAAATGGAAGCTAAAGTTCGAGACCCATACAAAGCAATAATGACATGTCTCGCCACTCCGTACTATGGTATGGTGACGTGCACTTGTCGTGAGGTGCACTCAAAATAATTAATTACAATACAACACTAATACGTAGTATAGTGAAGTAAGGTTCGTATCCACAGGGAAAGGAATACTTTTCTTCTATATAAGTAGTAACAAGGGGGTTTAGATTTGTTTGCTTTAAAAACACTAAGATAAACAACCTATATGAGTTTAATTTAATGAGATGAGGACTTGGTTTTGCTTTTATCCACTTAATGAAATGTTCGTCGATCCCGATTATATCTTTAACTATCTTCCTCTCGAATACTCAATCGAGGAGTATATCCAGTTCATCGAGGGTAGTTATTAATAACGAGATGCGTTCATTAATAAAACTTACTATCCAGTCAATATAGAACAAGCGCCGTATATTAACTTTATAGTAGCAATAAATTTAAGATGAAAATGATTGAGATTGATAACCTCAACACAAGCGGTTTATTGGTTTAATCAATATAATTAATTCCCCTTGGCATATTAACCATGAGATGCATGCATCAATATTCCAAGTTTACTACCGTTGAAAGAATCGGATTAATAACAAGCGTATTAACCGATTGATTCTAGTAATAATTAATATGAGAAACAATACTAGTTGATACTTTAAGTAATGTTTAAGATATTAACATGAAATAAGAATAGGAATTAATTAATACTCAAGGAAGAATATTAAAGAATATGAATCCTACTATGATTAATATCAAGATGTTGACTAATTGTCATCTTAGTAACACTCCCCAATATTAACATAGAGGAAGAAATAGCTATTATTATAACCAATGTCAAGATGTTAACTAATTGTCATCTTAGTAACACTCCCCAACTTTGATATAGAAATAGTATTTTAAAGGAAGAATTAATATTCAAGGAAGAAGATTAAAGAAAATAACTCACAACTTACAAATTCATTAAGCTTCAAAGTAGCAAAACCAATATGGAAGAGTTTAGCTCCTCATTTGGAGACTAAACATGATGAAACATATAAAGAAAGAACTATTCTATACTGAGCTTAGATGTACAAAGGAATTGGATATTTTATTGTGGAGGAAAGGGGTGTATTTATAGGCTTTTGGGAGCTGCAGGGGCTGATACCCGACCGGGTATATAGGATACCCGATCGGGTATCTTAGGAAATTTCCCGGAAAGCCACATTTCTGGACATACCCAGTCGGGTATGTCGGTTTACCCGATCGGGTATGTGACAAATCTTTACGAAAATTTGCTCCCACGATCCTTTGTTCCCGGATTTGATTTGGACAACCGAATCAAGTAAATACCCGATCGGGTATTGCCTATACCCGACCGGGTATAAGAGTAATTTTTCCAAATCGAAATCTTTCATGTCTTCTTGCACTTTCCTTGATCTTTTGAGGTCCCATCTTGATCCCTTGGATGAGCTTTGACCTTTTTAGCTCAGAATAGTCCTAATCTAAACAAATTACAAATAATTATGAAAACAAAGTATTACACCAAAAATGTGTAATTTCCACAACTAGAACTAATAAAAACTAATTAAAAATACAAACATACATGATAGGAAATTCACACTATCAAACTCCCCCACACTTAGTTTCTTTACTCGTCCTCGAGTAAAGCCAAATGTTTACAAGTTTTTCATGTCTTCAATAGTTCAACAATTTAACAAGAAAGAGCAAAAGACCACCAAGGATTGTACATTAGATTTAAATTGAGTTTTGAGCTTAAAGATTAATATTTTCTTGGGTTTTTATGGCCTTCTATGCTCTTCTCTTATTTTCAACTCCTTCATTCCACTTCTTGAGACCACCATTGCCCAATGAGTGATTCCCCCTTACTTAGCTTGAAGCACTGTCCCTAGTGCTCGTCTCCGTCAAAGCCAGGCTGACCGCCACCATAGTCTCCTCCACTGTAGCCGCCGTCCTCCCCAAAATTACCCCATTGAGAGGGGTCATACCATGACGGGTGCTGCACTGGGGGACGCATAGAGGAGAAGTGCCCCTGCTGATGATGATAAGCATAGATGGGGGCTATTGCCCGTCGGTTGTCATCGTCCATGCGGTTGACCCGGAAGCTCAAATCCCGGAGTCCTTCCAATAGAGCACGTTGGTTCTCAAGCACTTGTGTTTGATACGGATCGTAGTGGGGTGGGTCGTGAGGTGGGGCTGGAATATCTTCAAGAATTGGAGGGGCTTGTTCTTGTGCAGGTTCATCTTCTTGGTTTTGAAAATATGGTGGGATGGCTGGAGGGAGGAAATAGTGGTGCACAAG